CGTCACGCACACCCTCTTTCCTAAGGATGGAAAAGGCTGGTATAGATGTTTTATGGAGAATCCTGTTGGGAGTTCCAACTTGCGATTCTGAGACCCTCGGTCATTGGTGGTGGCCCCTGGCAGGCGAGGGGATGGGTCTCTGGTAGAAGGATAAAGTGTAAACCAAAAATCCAGTTATTGTCAAGTCAGTTTCTGACCCATGACAACCTTGTGTGTCAGAGTAGAACTGTGCTCTACAGGGTTTTCAGTGGATGATTTTTTTCACCAAGCCTTTCTTCCAGGGTGCCTCTGGGTAGACTGAAGCCTCTAACCTTTCTGTTAACAACTGATCACTAAGTGTTTGCACCTCCCAGGGACTCTGGATAAACTGGAAATGGGAATGAGAGAGGTGTGTGGGTGGGGGATAGAGACTTAGCTGCAGGTCTGTAGATACGAGGCCAGGCTGGAATTTAAAGGCGGGTGGAGGAACATACTGAGAATTCCTGTTTGCAAATGCTGCACGAATTAACTCAATTTCTAAAGGGCGGGAGGAATTTATAATTTGGGTTGCTTCATTTCTTTCTTTTTGTAAATTATTGTACTTTAGATGAAGGTTTACAGAACAAACTAGCTTCTCATTAAACAATTAGTACACATACTGTTTTGTGACACTGGTTACCAATCCCGCAATATGTCAACACTCTCACTTCTCGACCTTGGGTTCCCAATCACCAGTTTTCCTGTCCCCTCCTGCCTTCTAGTCTTTGCCCCTAGGCGGGTGTGCCCCTTCAGTCTTGTTTTACAGGCCCGTCTAATCTTTGGCTGAAGGGTGAACCTCAGGAGTGGGTTGCATCATTTCTAAGTCCCCTTCCAATCCTGTTTTATAATTCTTTGACATAGGACGTCCCAGATCCCACAAAGTGTTTTGTGACTCGGTGGAGCGCAGACCCATGGATCCAGATGGCATACAGTTTTGTAAAGACGGGTGGCAGTGGTGAGGCCTATGATATCATTGCCGAAGAAATACAAGGAACAATCTTTTTTGCTGGTGAGGTATGTATCTTGATCCCAAACCCAACCTTTTTTATTTTATGTCCTTATTTTTATCTTGATTACTTTCTTTTAATTAAAGTCATTTATGCCTAGAGTTTAAAAACAAAGTCAAATCCTGTTAAAAGCCTTACAGCAAAAACAGAAGAAGCCTTCTCAGTGTGCCCGCCATACTCCCCAGTTGTTAGTTGCCCTGGAGTTGGTGCCGACCCATGACAACCTTACGTGTAACAGAACGAAACCGTTCCCGGTCTGCACCAGCCCCAGGACCCTTGATGTGTTGAGTCCATGTTGCAGCTGTTGGGTCACTCATCTCAGGGAGGGTCTCCCTCACGTTCATTGATCCTCTGCTTCACCAGACATGGTGTCCTTTTCTAGAGATTGGTCTTTCCTGACGATGTGTCCAAAGGAAGCGAGTCCAAGTCTCGCCATCCTTGCTTCTGAGGAACAGAGGCAGCCGTTTTTTAACTCTTTCAGCTGTTTCTTCTGGAATTTACTTCGTATTTTAAAAT